TTTTACTAACTTTTTTTTGCTTCTTTTTCTTAAAATTTTTAGGAGAATAAAAAGAAACCTTAAATTGATTTATAGTCAGAAAAGAGAGCCAATATCAACTTCACATAGCTTACAACCAGGTCAGTGCAGGTTAATACCTTTCTTGACACTGCAAGGAACCCAGGAAGCAACTAAGTTTACTCGATAAATCAAGTTACTTTAGTTACTCAAAGGCTCAGAAGGATATTAAAGCTCCCCAAGGACAAGACAGTCTAAACGTATATACATATATAAACAACATACCTATCCTTCATCTTGTTATGTGAACACAATTATGTAAAAGTGGACAAGCAAAACAAGTATACACATAAAAGTAACAAACAAAATATATACATATATGTATAACTTGTGATTCAAACAAGTTGATCGATATTTCACACAAACATGATAACAACTTATAAAATTTGGATAGAACCTTCAATATTAACAAACAAATAAATCAAAACAACACAACAAGGTTTTTCTGTATTACTTAATCAAAAATATAAATAATAACAACCCAGAAAGGTTTATTTGTAATCCAAAAATAGAATAACTGATAAATATAGACAAGCAATCACATGATTTATCAATAAATCCAAATCAATAGCAAATATAAATAGAGCATAATATATATTACAGATTGTTAGTAAAAGAGAAGAGAATAAACACATTAATCAATCTCTTAATAAAACATGATGAACACTCTACTTTATGGGCTTCACAACAACTACTAAAATAAAGAAATAATGAACCCAGTGAACCAGTAGCCTTATCAGCAGAAACATATACTATCCTTGATAGTATTATAGCTAAGATAATAGGAGTAGATGTAATAACTTTCCATAAGGAATGAATCTTAACTCAACATATTACATATTTTTGACAACAAGGCAAAGGGATTAAAGAAGATCTCTTACAATCCTACATTGAGGACAAGCTTATGGAAATTATTAAGAATCCTGAAAGTCAACATAAACCAGAATAACAATCAATGAAGATCATTGAACAAATAGATAATAAATAAACAATAGACAATAAAGTAACAATGATAAGTGCACAGTAAATCAAAGAACTAGAATCACAAAAACTCCAAGAAACAATAAAAAAACAATACATTAGTGAACATAGCTCTTATATCACTAGGAATAGAGACATAACACCACTAACAAATCCTTACTTTATAAAAAAGAAAGGAAATTATAGATTAGGTACTATGACAACCAATATTCTAGGAAAAACAGAAAACGAAACTAAGGTATATCTAGGCAATACCCTTAAACTTTCACAAGAAAAAAGAAACCTGTTATGAAAAGAGTTTATCAGTGGAAATGAGTGATTAGTTTTTTGGATACAAGAGGAAGAATATGTTATAAGATGTATCAAAGAAGTTAACCAAAAAGAAGACAACTTTGCTATTAAAAATATAACACCATTGATTACTTACAAGAAACAAAAGACAGAAAGAAATCTAGATCAAAAAGTTTTTCAAAAATCCAAAACCAAAGAAGACACTATTATTTGATATATATGTTTGGTAGACATGGATCAGAAAAACAATAAGAATTTTATAAAAATATATTTAAAAAGATATGAAGAAGTTTAAAATATTCATATCTATGAAATGAATACAAAACCACGAGTAAAAGCCTATATCAAATAACACAAATATCTTAGTCTAAATCCTAAAGAAATTTGGATGACTTCAATTAGTATGGAAATGTCAAGAGCTATATTTTCCAAGTCTAAGCTTAGCGATAATGAAACCAATCAAATATTAATTGAAAGAAATAACAACTCAGCAAGACTCCTAGATACTGATAAAATGTACACCAGTCTAATAGCTCGAGTATTGAATGTATACAAGCTAAGGAATGCTATAAACCCAAAAATTTCTATACACTCAAGAAGCATAACTTTATAGTAGTTTGCTTTAAAACAAGAGAAGAAAGAAACAAGGCATACAAATAATATATTTTTTTATAGGGACATTGTCTCTTATAGAGTATCAAACACATATCCAAAACAAAAAGACAGAATTCTAAAGATTAAAATACAAATACAAGATTCAGGCCCAGAAATATAGAAATAGACAATGAATCAACACCTGACCCACAATTAGATATAGAATCAATAGAGTTTATTTCTAATCCAGCAAGTTATCATAGGTTCAGAAATTTGTAACAGATCAGGTAGCAATGCAATAATAGAATAAGGTATGAAAGAAACAATAAAGAAGAATATTCTGCAATTGGAAGTAATAGAGAATCAATTAGAAATTAATGAAACTATAGAAATAGATCTCTGAAGTCAGTAGAAGACCTAAAATAGAAAGTACACAAGATTCTTTAATGAATATTCTAGTCAATCTAGAAAGACTATATGTTAGAATAGATACCCTAGAGGGACAAACAGGCTTTAGAAGATCAAGACTCAGTAATAAGGAAGCAAACTGCTCCTAAAGGCATATCATTCCTTGATAGTAATCAAGAGGAGCAACAGCCCACTGCTTCCTTATCAAAAATCACAAATATGAACAACAAATAAACTTTAAAAGGTAGTTAGAAAAGAGAAGAGAAGGAAAATATAAATATCACAACATTTCTACAAGAAGAACGGAAAAAATTTCTTAACAATAGTAGATATAGACTAATAGAAAAAACCAAAAAAGAGGACAATGTATGTAAAAAGGTAATCAGATTGGGTACTGGTGAACTATAAAATTTTGCCATATGATTTCCCTAATGCCCAGGATAATCCCAGTAACTCAGATCAATATATCATGATTCTTTTGGTCACTTGAAAATAAAGATTTTCCAGAACACTTCTAGAACATTGATAGTCAATTTTGTTATTGGCAAACTTAGCATAAAGTATTCTAGAATATTCTATAATCCTAGCTTATCACATATAACTATTATTTTCGAAGGATACTTGAGTTCTGCTCAAAATAATATAGCTTAATAGTCTAGTGAAACTAATAATATAATTATTACTATTATTTATCATAATTTATATTCGCAAAAATAATATAACTTAATTATATATTTAAAGGAGAAAATTCTTCCTCTGGAGACTTCTCAGGATTTATTCAACAATAAAATTACCTTTAACCCGAAATTATTGTCCTACCTCTCCTGCCTAAATCACCTGTGATAAACCTCTTCATTTATTATTGTCCAAATTATGAACTTTTGCATATCATGTTAGAAGGCTAATTTGGTATTTCCCTGCATTAATTCTTTGTCTCTATCTGATTCCTAAGAGGTGAATTGGATAAGTTAACAAATTGGTGATGACTGTGAAATATACTCCTGCCACATTTTAAAGAAAAGAAGAAAAGCCTTGCTTAGTATTGGAAGTATTCACTGAAGACAAATTCTAGTGATTCAGAATTCAAAGTCTAGCAAGTATCAAGAGAAAGAAATCTTGTATAAGTGAATTTAGTGATTACTTTGACAATAACCAGTTACATGACCAAGTACATCAGTTATTTCCTGAAGAAGACCTAAGGAAGGGATCTTGTCCAGATGAATCTTGTGAAACTTGTTATCCTTTACAACATCCTAATATTTATTTCACACGATTTTGGAATTGATATTAAATCCAATTCTTTGCTATTTTCTATACCTCTAAATCTCAATATTATTTCACCCAATTAATTAATAGTACTATTCATAATCAAGATCATATAGCTCACTAATTTATTTTTAGTATTAGATATTTCAACATTTTAATCTTTGATAGTATTCTCCCCAAAGTTATTCATGTAATCAACTCTTTTGAATATTTTATTAATATCATATCTCCAATCCCTTTAGACGATTTTATATTATCTCCTATCCAATTCAATTTTAACTTACTCTCTCATCCTTTTGACCTACAGAATAATCTTTTATATACAGTCAAACCTCGTTATACTGAAATTCGTTATACTGAATATTCATTATACCAAAACAATTATCTTTGCTCTTTTTTTTAATATTTAGACTTAATCATTATTACGAAATTTAATAATAAACCTCGTTATTTCATTACCGAAGTTTTGAGAACAGGATTTTCATATAAGTTACTAGTCACTTTATAATGAATTTCCTTACATAATTATAAATGGTAAATAATGATTGGCTATAGTAAATGATTTTGAAATTTATGTAAAATTAACTTTCCGAATCCTATATAAAAATTCCTGACTTTATAATATCAAACTATTGCTAAATTCCTTCAATTAAAAAATATAATTAGTCTAAATTATAAAGATTGATTTCTAGAAAAAAACTTTTTTAAAAAAAATTTTAATTGAATCAGATATAAAAAATAGTAGATTATAAATATTTTTTTCTAATCATTTTTTATTATTATAATAAAATCATATGATATTAAATAATGTTCTACGAAATGATAATAGCAATATATTATTATTATAATAAATCATTGATGTTCTGCAAGATGATAACATAGGTCAATTAATTAGCATTTAGTTTATAGTTACAGGTAATAGGTCAATTAACTAGCATTTAATTTTATAATTATAGTTCTATCAAACCCAGGTGCCTTCAATAAATCAACCAAGTAATGAGATCCAACTCTATTTAATTGAATAAGTAAAAAAATGATAAAGGTAATAATAATATTTCACTGATGAGTTGCCCCTCCCACTTATTCTATATCCTCTATATCTTTATATAATGTCAAACTAGAGTCAAGCTTAACAGAATCTTTTTTCTCCGCTGATTTTATCTAGTCCATTCTCTTAGCCATGATTTCGCTAGATAATAGGTAAAAACAGTGAGAGCCTTGTTAATTAATTTATACACATTACTAATTAGATAACAAAGTAATTGACTACATTAAGTGAGTTATAATTACTTCGCTATTTACTTGCATTCAGTTAAATTTCTTCACATTGTCAGAGTACTGGAAAATCACATTGTGTCAACACTACTTTTCTGGCCATCGTAATAATATATTTAATTAGACAGTCAGATTCCCCTTGTTTGTCCAGTTCTAAGCTGGTTGTTAAGCGTACACTGGACAGGTAATTTTTCACCCAAGCCAAGACCTTCCAGACCAGGCGTCCAAGCTTCCGAAAGCAATTTTTCATCTCCAGTATCAAGGAAATCCCAGACCTTCAAATTAAGGCCCAATATATTCAACACTTAGAACCAATCCATTTCCTGAAGTTATGGATCTAATTTGCTAACTTCCCTTACCCACATTATTCTATCAATTAGAGGCTGTTCACCTTGAAGACCTGCTGTGGTTATGAGTACAACCTGGTGTAAAAATAATTCTTTCCCTTGATTTTTCAAGGATCATCGGGAGTGTATCAGACCTAAAATATGTGTCGAGCTCTTTCCGCCCTTAAACTGTATCTCTGGGTAAACCAAAATTTCAAGGTTTAATTGATAGTTAAAAAGAAAAGAGAACTCTTCCCAAGACTCTTGCTGATGTCACCAAGTTCAATTACGTTACCATATTGATAGATCCATATCCAGGTGCAGGAATATTAACCTGCTTCCCTTTCGATAGTAGGAACGAAAAAATATTCACGTTAAAACGGATTTAACCTATCTCTTAGAATCAACTAACCCATATCCAAATACTGTTAACATGGAACCTTTCTCCACTTCAGTCTTCAAAGATCTCATTTGAATATTTGCTACTACCACCAAGATCTGCACTGAGGACCGTTCTATCAAGGCTCATGCCTGCCTACTTGTCAGAGCTTCAATAAAACCCTGACAGTGAGGTATAGATATTACGCTTAAGCGCCATCCATTTTTAGGGCTAGTTCATTCAGCAGGTGAGTTGTTACACACTTCTTAGCGGATTTCGACTTCCATGGCCACCGTCCTACTGTCTAGATGAACTAACACCTTTTGTGGTATCTAAATGATAGTGAATTCTAGCACCTTAACCGCACATTCAGTTTATACCACATCACCAATTCTGCTTATCAAAAATGGTTCACTAAAAACTCTCATTCAAATGCCCAGGTTCAATAATTAAGTAACCTGAAGCTTCTTTCATATTTAAAGTTTGAGAATAGGTTAAGGCTATTTCAACCCTAAGGCCTCTAATCATTTGCTTTACCTCATAAAACTGTTTAATGAGTTTCTGCCCAAATTTGACGATCGATTTGCACATCAGAACCGCTACGAGCTTTCACCGGAGTTTCCTCTGGCTTCACCCTATTCAGGCATAGTTCACCATCTTTTGGATTCAAACAGGTATGCTTATACTTAAATCTATCCTGATTAGTCAATGGTACTTTGCTTAGTAAGAAATAAATACTCTCCACAAAGTCAATAATTAATAAATATATATGTATCTACAAAATAGTAATTGACATAATAAGTAATTCATTTTTTTAAATTTGTTCAATAAACAAATATTACATTTTATAATTATTCTTATGTAAAAATCAACTAACTATTATTATATACTTCTAATATCACTAATGTACACGACTATGAGGACTATAGCAACATACCACAATGATCTTTCGTAATTATTATTAATTTGTCAATTTGGGGCTTGCGCGATCAAGTGTCAATCATGTATGTTATGCCTTTAACACAGATATATTTTATTAAATAAATTTATTATATAACAAAAAGTAATAAATTACCGTATGTTTTTTTCAAAATCATATTCAAAAAAAATATCTCAACAGAAAATTACACAACGAAATATTATTTCAGCATTGCAAAAGCATGAAATTTGTTTATTAAAAAGAAGTAGATCTGGATCAAAAAATATCGAATTAGCAAAACAATTTGGAATTAGTCAAGGACAAGTTTCCGATATTTTAAAAGAATCTGAGAAATGGTTAGCAATTGATCCAAATTCTTATCAAGCAAACTTAAAAAAATCCATTTATCAACCGTGGTACATATTGAATAAGCATTGATTGTGTGGATCAAAAAGGCACTTGAATGCAATATAACTATAACAGGTTCCTTAATTCAACAAAAAGCTTTAAAATTTGCAACATTATTAGATATAACCGATTTTAAAGCTTCATCCAGTTGGCTTCAAGATTTAAAAAAAGACATAATATTAGCATATTTAATAAACATGGCGAAGCTCAAAGTGCACCAACTGAACTTATTCCAGAGATGAGAATTAATTTAAAAGCGATTATTCAACAATATCAACCCAATGATGTTTTCAATTGTGACGAAACAGGTCTCTATTGGAAAATGGAACCTAAACAAGGATTATCA